TTTAGAGCCCAGTACCCTCTTCTTCCTGGCAAAACAAACATGTGTCGTATTTTCGCCGCGCTGCAGCCACTTCTTGATGCTGTAGATCCGGTGGCCGACAGCAAAGTAATGGTAGTGGAATTCGAAGACGTCTCGGTAGATGCCATTTCGCAACTCGTCAAACGACTGTGGAGCTCTGAAAGTTTGTGCAGTGATTATTTTTCGTATGAAATAGCCTAACCTGCATAGTTTAAATTTAGACCAGCCTGGTTTTCTATTTTTCCATTTTTTTCCAGATACAAAACCGGTCGGTGATTGTGATCATCAATTACTCTTAATTTCTGAACCGTCAGGGTTTTCCTGTCATACTGATTTTCGCAAAACTTCACCGAAATTGATGATCCCAATACAGCCTTTTAGAAATTGGAAAACAATGCCCTTGGATGAAACAATTTTTACTGCAACCAAATTTTTGGGTATAAGCTGATAATGCCGATTCACAGAATGCCGATTTTACAAAATGCCGATTTACAGAATGCCGATTTAGAAAATGCCGTTTTACAAAATGCCGATTTACAGAATGCCGATTTACAGACTGCCGATTTACAGAATGCCGATTTAACATATTTTGGGTTTTACTTCAAAAATACAAACCGGATCCCCATAATCGGACCCGACTTGACCATTGCGAAACCGCCAGAGCTGAGGCTTAGCTTGTTCCTTTTCTTTTTTCTTTCTTTCTGGGGATTATCGGGAACTCGCAAGCCTCACGACAAGTTTCAACCGTTTTCGCTGGTCGCCGACACTTCTAACGAACTGGTCCACAGCGACAAAACTAGACGATTCATTATTATTTCTTGGTTGAGAAGGCCTGGCCTCTCGTCGAGAGGAAGGCAACTTTCGCAACCCCTTCGCAACATGGAACTAGGGTTTCTATGAAAAAAAAGAAAAATCTAAGCTTCAGGTCTGGCGGTTTCGCCATGCCCAAGTCGGACAATGTTTTTTATGGGGATCCGGTTTGTAGTATTGATGTAAATGCCAAAATATGCAAAATCGGCATTCTGTAAATCGGCATTCTGTCGGCATTCTGTGAATCGGCATTATGTAGGTGAATCCTATGATGATCCCAATACAGCCTTTTAGAAATTGGAAAACAATCCCCTTGGATGAAACAATTTTTTCTGCAACCAAATTTTTGATTTAATGCTCTTGTCGTTATTTTGTTTGACAACACCAATGTAATAACAAATTTTGATGATGCCGTAAAGTTTTTGTTTTACGCTTAGAAACTTCTTTTATTCCATTAAATGTTCTATCGATGTTCTAATTTCTATTAAACTTCTATTAATGCTCACTTTGTGCCAGTGCGATGCTCAAATTTCTAACTACCAGCAGCTCTCGGTTCGTCTCAATATCACGACTTTCCGCCAGAAATCGGAGGCGTTGTTCAGCTTGGAGGGAATATTCCTGAACGGAAGTGGCTGCCACGAATTTGAGCTTGATTTTATTTATTTTTCAGACTATTAATCGAGTATTAATATTTTTAATGTATTTTTGAAGCTTTGTTTTGGCTAATTCTAAGCAGGACAAAAGCCCAAATAAATCAAACTAAGAAGGATTAAATCATTATAATTACCTGTTCCATATCCGCAACCAGGATATACCGATGTTGTGGCCCGAATTTCCGAGCCAAATTCCGGGCCACATTAATGGGGTAGAGTTCAGGGTTGAAGGACGTCGCGGCAAAGGGGCTTTCCTTCAGCGGGTACAGGATCTCTAAAAGCGCTCTTTCAAAGCTATTAAACATTCCAAATTCGTCATAGGGTTTTGGAACTAAAAAGTTCAAGCAAGTTTTTCTCCACAGAAATCGTGATGTTTCACGACTATTCCGTTATTTCCAAAAAGTGAAGAGGGCTAATTTAGTTTGCATCCAGACTCCAACGCCAAACACAATACGAATTTTAGTAACAGCCGATGTCATTATAAAGCTGAAACACAATTCCACTAAAATCGTGGGCAGTCCATTCGTTGTAGGATCGGCGTTTACAGATTTAATCGTGATTTTATCTAACCCAGGCTTTTAGCTAAACCGCCAGTGGATTTAGCGTGCAAAGAGTCTGCCAAAACGAGGAAAAATGTAAGTTTCATCCCAAAAATGGTTTTCCCGAGATCTCAATATACTAGTTTACCGGCTTTAGCCCCAATTTTCATCCACATCACGTTTTTTTTTGAAAATTTGGCATTTTAAAAACCATTACAAACACACACATTCGGCAGTTTAAAAATCTAAAACTTTGTTTCGAAACTTCAACACCTTAAATCTAAATTTACATGAAGTCATTCTAATAAAACAATAAAAGTTATCGGGTGAGGTTAAGCTATCAAAGCCTTAAAATCATTGACCCACTCTCGACTTGGTAAACCTCGCATTCCTGGCCATCAATCTGGAAGAACAGCTGCCAAAAAACATCTTCGGGTCGTTTCAATTTCCCTTGGAAGTGGAGCAGCTAAAATTCATACATTTTCATTTGCATATGAAAGGTAACTTAATACTTCAATTGAAGATCTAAAATCGTGTCAAATGAATTTTAACTGGCCATAAATTAAAAATTCGTGTTTAAAGCTAAACCGTTAAAATTTTTTGTAAAAAGCAACGTAAAAGTAAGTTTTTTAAATGTTGTTGAAGAACTAATAAAATATAGCCTACCCATTTCAAAATCAGCGGAAATTGCTCGTCGACAATTTGTTCGGCAAAAATCGAAATCGAAATCAGACCCTCCCAGCTGTTGGCCTAAAAAATTCACGTGTCCTACGATATATTTAAAGTTTTTAATTAATAAAAAAATTGGATTTTAACCAACATTTTCATATATTTAATTCATAAATTCTATACTAGAAAAAAAAATTTATTTTCTTTTGATTCGTTAAGCTTGCCTCGATAAAAGTCGCAAAATTGTCCAGAGTCGTTTTCTTTTTTGATAGATTGGTGTTGAAACATCAGCGTTTAAAATTTCTATTTTCCAAATCTCTCAAAAATTGGGACTTCGAAAAATCAAAGAAGGAAGTGTTTTTATCCGGAGAAAGTTTGTCACTGAATTATCCCCGGACCGGGAGAATTTAAGTAACTTTATGTTAAAACATTCAATTCTAAAAGAAAGTTAAGGTACCGTTTTGATGAAGCCGTCATCGATGTAGGTGAGGGATGAGTGTAGTGCCATCAGGATTCGATTTTCCTTATCTTTGCTCTCCGTTCCGAGTACATTCGCGTAGACGCAAAAGTTTCCGTAGCGCTCCGGCGTTATTAGATGGGCTGCGGTCGGGTGGCTGACCGGGAATTCCCCGAAATCGATCTGGAAACAAATAAAATTTCGATTATTTAGCGTGGTTTTTTAATTCTTTCAGTTTAATGCATTGAAAAATGAAATAATAAAAAATGAAATTTAAGGTTAATTTTGTAAGTGATTTGAATAAAAAGTCGGAGGCAATCATTATTCGTTAAGAAGCAACACTTTGCTTTCAGGGAGTTAAAGAAACACCTTTATTCAATGTTTAATCTGTTTCGAAGAAACCAGTGCCCGAGTTCACGGAACATTTATACATTACAAGAAATATTCGACTAATTTTATAGACGATTAAAAATTCGCCTAGCCTTCGGTTTTGCTGTATCATAGTTTTCGATTTAAAGTCTTGGTGTGCCAAGCCTTTTTCACCCAAATAAAATTATTTTACAACGGGAATACGAATTGGTCGCAAATTTATGACGGGTATTAATTAATCAGAAAGAGGATTTTTCAAGAGGAAGGGTTGGTAAAACAATTTTTCTGACGCATCTAAATTCTTTTGAGAAAATATGTTTGGTTAAATTAAGTAAAGCTTAAACTCCTTAGCCTTGTAAGCCCAATAAAATCATTTGAATTTATTGTTTCGGTACGAATAGAACGAAAACCACGATTTTTAGGTAGCCATTTCGGCGAAACAAACTATTTGGATGGCTAAATTTCTTGCGATTTTCATTATTTATCGTAAAATCCAGTTGGTCTAATTCAAAATCCACCGATAAATTATCCAAAAAAATACGGAAAAGCGTTGTCGGCTGTGTTTATATTTTTGGAAGATTTTTCGATTGTGAAGAAAATATGTTTGATAGATCCTATCAAACCCAAATAAATAAGCACACGCAATTTTTTTTACCTACGCGACAATTATAAGTATTGAGAATCCAGTGTATATGCGTAATCACAAAAAAATACCGACCTGCTTGGCGTCACGCGTATCCAGGCGTACCGGAAATCGATGAGCTTTCAGGAATTTGAGTTTGGCAATGGCGTGCATTGAGAGGAGGGCGCAGAGAAGCATCGTCAGAATTGTCTAAATCGAGGCAGTGTCACATTTTTATTTTTTAGGACCCACCAAATGTCGCCATTTACTCGCCACAAATCTGGCCAACGGATTCTCGCGTATCATCCCCAGGCAGCCGTTTGAATTTTGGGCATAGGGCTCTTTTCTGAAATATTTTTATAATAAAAAATGTAATTTTGAAAACTACGTTTTTTAATTCGACAAAATTGGATTTTAGTGACAATCGTTAATTATGACGGTGCGAGACAGCCTTCTTAACTGTGATTCAGAAACATAGATCAGGCACTCAAACCAGAAAAGTTTGCTTTTCGAAATTTCGAAAAGGTTTTCATCAGAAAAATCGTACGGCTTCGCTCTCTATGGTTCCATTATACCACAGAATAAAGAAAAACATGATTTTCGCCCTTTGCGAAATTTCCCAAGAAACACCCTACGACACTGCGAAAACGGTTAGTTCACGCCAAATTCCTCGTCAAAATTTCGAAAATAATAGAATGAAACTAACGTGAAAATACAACAATTTTCATGAAACAAAGTTTTTTTCAGCAAAATTCAAAATTCAACCAGATATTTACAGATTCGAAATCAATGAATGGTTGCAGTGAATACCAGAAACGGTGCACGTGAGAATTTCCCAAGCCCGTCTCTAAATCGCAGATGAATTGAAACGCGTATTTTTCGAGAAAGCAGCCAGGTTAGGGCTTAGGAATGATAGACACGGCTTGGTTATGTCCGTCGGAGCAAAGAACCTACTATCTATAAATTTCTAATGTCCTTCTGCCGGCACTCCCGCGTCGATTTTTCAAAATCTTGCGGTTTCTCGAGGTTGCCTACGAGCTAATTTGCCTCAATTCCTCTAAGCAAAATGGCCTGCAATGGCGGTTAATTGTAGGCCATACCTTAACGTATTTAAGGGCGTTGTATAACGGCGGATTTAAATAAAAAGATGGTGTGAAAATGGTTGCA